ATTGCCAGAGGTGCTGTCCTTCGAATGAGATGTTAAACCCAGGAACCATCTGCCTGTTCAGCAATCAGAAAGGAGTTTCTCTTGCCTTGTGTCCTGACCAACAATCTCCCAAATAAAATTGGTCACCCACACTATGGCTGTTTGTGAAACTTTGCTGTGCCCAGTTGACTGCTATATTTCGCCCACAAAATATACGGACAATTCAGTATATGATGTGAAGCACTTTAGACTCTCAAAGATGTGATAAGACTCTATATCAAATGCAAGGATTATTATTATGATTATTTACAAGTTAAGCCAGGTTTGAGTTATCAGGAGTTCACTGTGTTTCAGTACACCCTCTGGTGAGCTTTTCCCATAAACCTTCTAGTTTATTATCACTAACAGATGAAGGGTGGTTGTTTACTGAAAATTAAGATTGTGTGTTTTCCCCCACCACACCGTCAACTGTTACTGCCTGGAACAAGTATGATGCCAAACAACAAAAGGAATTTGACATTGATTATGGTTATGGGGAGGGAAGCTGTAGTGATAATAAAAAGAAGACTCCTTGCATTTGATATACCACATTATCATGTCTTCGTGACGTCTTCGAGAGAGATTGAGATACTCACTCGATCAATTAGAACCTTATCCAATGTGCTTTCCAGCAGCTAAAATGCATTTGAATGTATAAAAATAATAATGCTGATGATAAAATATTAAACTAAGTAACGCACTGCCTAATATTCAAAGCATCGCCCACAAATTAGTAACATATTCATTTTGCTCCTCCCGCTCAATGTGAGCAGCTGTAACGTTAACCTTAGTTGATCAGTATTGATCAATAAGACATGAAGATTAAAGAAGATTTTTTGCTATATTCATTTCCTGGAAAATGCTAAAGTTTGTGGAATTCTCGTATTTCACAATGCTGCATGCTTAATGCATATCAACCTAACAAAATCACATTGCTATATTTTATTGCATTTACAAAGACTTGAAAGCTTATTTTGTGCACGATTCTAACTAACCCTGTGAAGATACAGAACTCTGAACTAATAACTCATTTAAAAGAACTACCAAACAACATCTGAAAAAAAGCCCAGTGAATTGCACTTTTATCAGCTCCCTTTTATGAAACATGAGAATGAATAAAGTCCATTAATGCGTGTGCACTATATTGATCACGACACAGAGGCAGGTTAAAGACACACACCACCCTTCCATTAAGGTGGCCACTTAGGATCAACTTAATGGATAAAGTGTGTGAATAAGATCAGCACTGCAGATCGAGAGGGAAAGTACAATTACTGTAAAATGGAGCCACGACAAAAGCTGAAATGCTGAAGAAAGATTCTACACTCCAGGTACTCAAACACTGAAGCACCTTTTATTGCTGTTACTGACCACTGTTTTGCCCACAAAATACACATTCACTCCACGTTACAGTATATCCTGTGAAGTGCTTTGAGATGTCTCAATGACGTGATAAGGCGCTATATCAAATGCATTTTTTTTAAGAAAACATTATCGTCTGTTTTCTAAACAGCACAAAAAATTACATCTGTCCACCCTTAATACTGATTGCCTCATTCTGCCAAGGATATACGATTTAATGTTTACTTGCTTTTGTGGAGTGGTTAAAAGCACTGATGGACTTGAAAGCCGAGCTTGAATTATTTAACAGCAGCTCTTTTATTTGATAAACAACAACCCATGAGAAAAGTAACCATGATAAAATGTTTCCAAATTGAAAATTTTGCTTCTTGATTTTTTGGTAATGTTTCACAGCCATAGTCAAACTCACCCAGAGATTGCAATTGGTAAACATAAATCTATGAGCCATGGGGTTTATTTTAAATAAAATTATAAATACAATGCGCTGGGTAGAAACAACATTTGAATACGTTTTGGTTAAATATTTAATGAAAATTCAAAAACAAATTGATTTCCAACTATATGTTATTCAAATGGTTTCAGATGAAAAATCACTCGACTACTGTACTTTTTTGTTACTCTTGTATTTGTACACCTGTTTTGTCCCACAAATAAATAACATGAAACAAGGTTTGAGACAATGTTACACCTGGATGTGTGGAATTAAGTACTTTATATGCTTTAAATGCCCCACATACACACAGAAACACACACAGCTTTTTTGATCTGTTCCATCGTATACAATAACTGCTATTAAGTGGCAAACATCAACACATGCTTAAACAGGAATGATGTAGCAATGCGGATGGGGTAAGATCGATACCAGGAGAAAGCGTTGCAAGAAAAGCACTCAATTCATTCAGTGGCTGAATGGACACATTGTCCCATCAGGTCAGTCAAACCAGAAGCGAAGATGTTTTTTCTTGGCAAACGAAAATACACCATCTTAAACATCAGTGACGAACCCTGCGGTCCAAGGCGAGCAAACCTTCTTCACTGTGCACTAACTAAAGGAAACGGTGTGTTTCATTTTTTTCCCCTTTGAAGTGCAGTTTGCGTTATTAATGTGGAATACAGTCAACACCCACGATGGGATGGGGTGGAGGGGAATAGGATAAAACTGAACATTTTTAACTTGTTAAAGCATCATTTGCGCTCCGCATCAGTCTGAAACTGGGAATTATATGGGTGGGTGGGGAGGGGGTGTTTGAATTGGATACAGTACGATTTCTTTAGTTTCAGCCTCTCTCTTTTTTAAAAATTAATTAAGAAAAAAAAATCTCAAAAGACATGAATGCGGGATATGATCCTGGCATCTGTCAATGTGCTTTCACCAGGTTATATAATAATAATAATAATCCTTGCATTTGATATAGCGCTTTTCACGTCGGAAGGACGTTATGTAGGCGATGGGCTGAGGCAGGGTTTAGGAAAGCAACGAAAGGCACTGTTTATAAATAAAGTGGAGGGTGATAAACGTTGCTTACTTCACCCCCCAAAGCCTAAATAAAAACTCCAGACAAAGTGATGGGACCAGCGGTGAATCACACATCCACAAACACAGTGTGTTGTCAGTGTAACAGGATATTGGGTCAGATTGTCGCCAATTAAACACGATGGGTGGATGAGCCATTAAAACGCTGTCATGACTTAAAACAGGAGCTTTCCTGTTGGGGAAAAAAAGCAAAACACATCTCGAAATTCACACAGATGGGAACCCAATGAATTCGCTCTCCTTTCCAGACCACTTCTGAGGGGGGGAAATGCGCCTTAAGATTGAAGGGGGGGGAAAAAAACACTCAAAACAAAAGAAACGCTGTTTAAACGGAATGTCACTGGATTCGGGGTGAAAGAGAGTGAGAGAGAGGTGGGGGGGGATCTGAATTCTTCCAAATACTGTACCAGCAAATAGATTTCACACCCACAAGAGATTCCCTCTATCTGTGTTGAACTCACTTTCCATCCCAAACCTTACTTAACCATTCCTCCCACCACAACAACGCCGCCATTTCTAATTTCCCATCATTATTGGCCTTTTGAAGTGACCCACACACCATTTGACACCAAACAGAAACAGGTCTTAAACTGCAGGATCCGTGGTTTTATTCAACCGCTTATGAATGCAATTGACATTTCATTCTATTGTCAGTTTCTCTCTCTCACACACACACAAATCCTTTCCCAAAGAGGGAATCAGATTCCAGTGAACAGTCCCATTTTTCTTGTTAATTCGCAATCATCAGTCCGATCCCTATCCATTTCCAATGTTTGGGACATGTTAAATCACATGTAATGGGTTGACATGTGTTAGTTATGTGGGCAATAGTTACAGCATTGTAGAACACTGGAATTAGGGATTTTTTTTGTGTGTGTGAGCAAATCAGTAAAAGGCAATCCATGGACAGTATTATTGGGACGTCCTCCCGACGTGAAAGGCACTATACAAATGTCATTTTGTTGTTGTTATTGTTGTAGTATTTCCTGGACTTGTGTTCTGCACAAAACGTTTAAACGATTTTCCTCTCGATCCGAAAAAGAAGGAAATATCTCGAATAATAGAGATGTTATATATATATATTTATAAATGTGTGTGTGTGTGTGCATTTAAATTCCCATATTAATCACGACACACAAATCACAATGATGGCGATTGATCAATCGTTAAAAGACTACAAACTGACACATTTCCACACATTTAAGTGAAAATTAAACCACATCTCCCGTTTGATGTCCTGGACTGTGTGTGTGATACAGTACCGACGATTTGATACCTTTTTTTTCAAAAAAAAATCTCTGCCCTCCACCCCCCCCACTGCTGGTCAAAGCAAATAAAAAAAAAGGACCATTTATTTCGATTGGATCCTGGACTCTTTGGATTACAATGTGACTTATTTATCGTTGGAGCCCCTTTCAGTCGTGAAAGACATAGAAATAAACAGCGATGAAATAAGACAAGAAGGTGTTGAGTGAGTGAATGTGTGAGTGAATGAGTGAGTGAATGAGTGTGTGACTGAGTGTGTGAATGTGTGAGTGAATGAGTGAGTGTGTGAATGAGTGAATGAGTGAGTGTGTGAATGAGTGAGTGAGTGTGCGAGTGAGTGAGTGTGCGAATGAGTGAGTGTGTGAGTGAGTGTGTGAATGAGTGAGCGAGTGAGTGTGTGTGTGAGTGAGTGTGCGAATGAGTGTGTGAGTGAGTGAGTGTGTGAATGAGTGAGTGTGTGAATGAGTGAGTGTGTGAATGAGTGAGTGAGTGAGTGACTGACTGAGTGAGTGTGTGAATGAGTGTGTGTGTGAATGAGTGAGTGTGTGAATGAGTGAGTGTGTGAATGAGTGTGTGAGTGAGTGTGTGTGTGTGTGACTGACTGAGTGAGTGAGTGAGTGTGTGTGTGAGTGAGTGAGTGAGTGTGTGAGTGAGTGTGTGAGTGAGTGAGTGAGTGTGTGACTGTGTGAGTGTGTGACTGACTGAGTGAGTGAGTGAGTGACTGACTGACTGAGTGTGTGAGTGACTGACTGACTGAGTGAGTGAGTGAGTGTGTGAGTGAGTGTGAGTGAGTGAGTGAGTGTGCACAGAGAGCACTCACCGTAGCAGACGCCAAGCTGCTGTCGGCCAGGGTCAGATGATGGGGTTCCCATCGCCGCAAGAACTTGGAGCTGAGGATTTTGCTGAGGAATGTCCTGGGATGTTTGATAACGCAGACCTGGATGTCCCCCTCCTGCAGCAGTTTGTACCTCATCCCATTGCAGTAGTTGGAGCGCCTACAGGGCGCTGCTCCCAGTTTGTTCAGATCCGAAGCCGACGACTCGGGCAGTAAGCAGTGCCTCTCCTCTGAGCTGTGCCTGTGATCACCACCATTTGAGCTGCTGTTCAAATCCATAGCAGCTTCTTTCTTTTTTTTTTGCCAAACCCCCACCACCACCCCCACCACTCCCCACTCCGACCAACTCAGCAAAGGAGGGGTGGAACACACACACGAGAAAAAAAAAGGATCAATCCTATGGGGTTTTTTTTTTCTCTCTCTTTTTTTCCCCCTTTTTTCTTTTTTTTCCTCTCTCTCTCTCTTAAGTCAACAGCAGATCCCCACAACGACGGACACAGACGACTACAGACGCAGACGGATCGCCTCTCCTTTTTGGTCCTAACACTACTCTACACGATAGCCATCCATTGCAGTAATGTGTAGGTACACAGACACACACACACACACACACACAGAGAGAGAGAGACACACACACACACACACACACAAATGCCTCTTCAAACCCAACCCAACACACACCCCACACCCACAAAAAAAAACCTCCTAGAATATAAAACAATTTTTTTTAAAAAAAAACCCAAACCCCTTCCCTCCCTCCCTCCCCTCCAAAAAAAAATGGTTTAAAACAAAAAAAAATTCACCCCTAAAAAAAAACACACACACACACACACAAAGAGCAAAGCGTCACGACTCTCGGTGCTTAATTTAGTGAAGATTATGTTGGTACAAGAGAGAGAGAGAGAGAGGGAGGGAGGGAGGGAGAGAAAAAGGGAGGGAGGGAGGGGGAGAGGGAGACAGGAGCGATGAAATTGCAGAGACTCTTTCCCAGTTGGTTGGTCTCTCGAAATTCACGTGGTTGTCTCTTTGACGTCAATTGGAGTTGGTTTAATTGACCAGAAGCGGATGCATTGCGTGGTTTTTAAAGGTATAGCAACGAGAGGCGACAAATACCACCATTTTAAAACCTTCTATGTTATGCACTTTGCACACACACACATACACAGTCACACACACACACACACACACAGTGCCAACCCAACTCAGCCCCTGCGTTTGGGGATCACTGCAGCAACGCTGGAGTTCTGTGCTGGTGATGTGATGGCAATTTGCAATGCAGCACTGTGTAATGGTTTAGAGCAGATGGGATATATATATATATATATATATATTTAAAAAAAACCTCCCCATCATTTTAAACTTCTTATTGCCGAATGACAATAATATATATTATATGTGTATATATGTGAGAGTTAGCCACAGACTGCAGTTTTGGTACCGTGGAGTGGTTGCATTGCAGATCGAGGAGAGCAAAATGCAACACACACACACACACACACATACACACACACAAAAAAAACTCCCCACCATTTTAAACTTATTGCTCAATAATACAATAATGTGTCTGGGCAGCAAGATATGAGACTGCAAGACATGAGATCCCTTTCCTTGGGTGACTTGCACAGCAGATCGATGGTACCAGTGGGTGCAGTTTTAAAAGGAGAGTGAGAGCTTCACCCATTACCTTTAAACCTCTTGGGGCTTTTTTTTACACACAGTGACACCTACATTGTTCCTTTTGATTGAAGAGTGTGGTGTCAGAACACAGCAAAAGACGCTGCTCACATTGCACACCGGATACTGTATGTAGGCGACCTCGATGCTTGTTCGGAGTTGTGGGTTTTAAAGGATGCTCGCTTTTGCTTTTTTTTTAAAAATTTTTTTTAAAAATCCTCCATTTTAAGGTGTTTCACTGTCATGTGGCAGATCACAGGCTTAATTTTTACCCCCGTTGTGAAATCACAACAATAAGTCATATCTGGGAGTAATTCATTACAGGGACATCAAACATTCCAGCAGAAACAGAGCAGTTTAATTGCAACACTTGCAGAGACTATGATTAAGAAAGTGAGCGTTTAGGAGAGGATGGGTTCCAGCAGAGCATTTCCTCTCCCCCCACCCACCCACCCCCACCTCTTTGCACATGGAACAATAGCAGAAATGTATGGGGAGTCTGAGCCACAGGGGGCGTTGCACTGAAATTTGCTCTTCTTGCAATGTGATTTAAAGCACCAAGTTTCTTCTGTAAAACAAATTGCATCAATCCAGTCAATTCCAGTCAACGCAGGACTTTCTCTCGGGAACACACACACACAAAGCAAGATTATGTATCTCTCCCCCCCCCCACCCTCCACCACCACCACCCCAATAAACTCCCTGCAGCAAATCCGGAGGGTGATGCTGAGGCTCCCATTTCCAGTGGAGTGGTACCCATTTTCTTTGAGCCCCCTTTCCAAACGCAACCTTCCTCAGTTGAGATCGACACCAACAAAGAGAAGATGCACATGGTGCAAGTCTTTTGCATCTGTGATCGGCCTCACTTGTTTCCCAGTCTGTGCTGATGAGAGTTGGGTACAGGGAAATAAAGGTCAGAGAGGGAGGTAACCAGTAGCAATGAGTCACTCCAGGACATCTCGTGGAACTCAGCCCAATAACATCATTGGAAAATGCCCGAGGAAGCTCAAAGGATGATGGAATCAATACTCATGTGGGTACTTAATAGATAAGAGGCCAAGGAAAAAGATTGAAACTGTGTGTGTGTGTGTGTGTGAGTGAGTGAGTGAGGGGGGGGGTTAATAAAACATTACATCATGGAACCAATTTAACGAGTTCCAACAAACTCCCAATTCAAAAAAAAAACGAGAGCAGGTTTCACTCCTTCCACAATGGGAAGAGAAGGAAGTTCAGAGAGTGATCAGCTCAAGAGCACAATTTGCGTTTTCCACACAGCTCGCACCCATCCCTGATGAATCACTTGCTGGCACTCAGCCATGAAGTTGTATTCCTGACATATGTTTATGTGGAAATTGGGTTCAGGATGGATGAGGGAAAACCAACCAGGACTCCACAGCTCCTCATTCCTCTCGTGCCCTCTGCTGGGAAGTGAGTGTCAACAATCCTCGACTGTTACAGATCAGAAATACTTACAGAACATTTGCCTAATCAACAATACTTGCATTTGATATTAAGTGCCTCACCACGTGATTGAGACGTCCCAAAGAGCTTCACGAAATACACTGCAAATATATTTATTTTTTAAAAAATTGGTCACTTCAATCCACGGTTGTTTGTGGGACGCTGCTGTGCGCATTTGGCTGCCGCATTTCGCCCACAAATATACAGTCAATTCACTTTTCCAGTATATTCTGTGAAGCGCTTTGAGATGTCTAGAAGACGTGAAAAGAGCTATATCAAATGCAAGGATTTATTATTATTACTATAATGCATTTGTCCAATCCATTTTAATAGTTTTGTGGCCGAAAATTCCACGTTCAAACCACTCTGTGAAAACAAACGTCTTTAACCTCCTTTAATGCCTAGTGTGATTATCTATTGGGCATGAAAAAAACAAGTGAAGCTCTCATGTCCTCGTAGCCAAATAATGTGAATGTTCACTGACTGAACTCAAAAAAGGATAAACACTATTTACCCAACGTATATTTTTCGGCTGGTAGTGCGGAGCTGTAAGGGGAGGTGGCAAAATATGTTTTTTTTTTGAAAACTTGTAAGTCCAGTGAATAAAACATGACCATTTCCATTTCTTTAAGTTGATGCTTTTACCCATCAAGGAAATGGATATCAATGTAGGATATCCCCTGCCAACTCCCATCACACACACACCCTGTCCCAGCCAGGTGTATTTGTGCTTTTCCCCAATAGTGTACTGACAATGCATTTCTGTAAACTGTCATTAAATGTCATACTCACTGCTCACATCACTCTGTGTACACACATAAACAAGGATTAAACCCACAATCCTTCGAACTCTGGGGCAAGAGTGGTACCAAGTGAGTCAGGTCAACATCTTTCCACAAATGTGCATATTCACAACATCCCCAGACTGATTGCGGAAAGGAAAATGATTCAATCAGATCAAGAAATGATCCATCCTCTCACATTGAAATTACACAGTGCCTTCCTTTACAATAAATTCTGTGAAGCTTTCAGGTGACATGGTAAGGCACTATATCAAATTAGCTTCATTGAAGCTATCACCTTGATTGTTATCTTCATTAAATCTTGCACATCCACAAGCACAGAGATGACCTTATAGCTTCTGAAGTTATTTCCTGTCAGCTGTTTCTCTGTGGCAATGATCTCAGCTGCAGAAACTCCTACAACTTCCTGAGGATACATATTATCAACATATGAGACAAACCTTTGAGATTATCGCTTCAGAACTGAGACCCAAAATCAAACGCAGGGAGTCAAAAGGCACAAAATATAGTCAATTCACTTGACAGTATATTCTGTGAAGCACTTTGAGACATCTAGAATATGTGATAATGCGCTATATCAAATGCAAGGATTATTATAACTGATATTTGTATGCTCACTTTCAAGTGTTAGTTGTGTATGTATCCTCTCAAAACAGGATAGGTATTCCAAACATCCAAAGAGTGAAGGTACAGAAGTACAGAAATTGGAAAAGCCCAATGCAGTTCATCTTTGCCGGTCAAGTACACTTTATACAATATTGAAGTGTTTTACATCAGTTTCAATACTGTTTAGCTTGTTCTGAAAGACAATAATATAATAATCCTTGCATTGGACATAGCGTTTTTTCACGTCTTCGAGACGTCTCAAATAATAATAATAATAATAATAATCCTTGCATTTGAGATAGCGCTTTTCATGTCAGGAGGACGTCCCAAAGCGCTTCACAGAACACACTGTAAAGTGAATTGACTGTATATTTGTGGGCGAACGCGGCAGCCAATTGCACACAGCAATGTCCCACAAACAGTCGTAAATTGAAAATGACCAATTTATTATTGTTTTTGGTTTTTGGAGGGATTATTATTAGGCTCTGTGTGGAGTAAGGAAACTTGCCCAAGGTTTTGCCCTCTGCCTGGAATTGAACTCAGGTCTCTCACTTGCAAAGCGAGTGCTCTAACCACTGAGCTACAGGACTCCACAAAGCGCTTCACAGAGATTCAGAGTAAACATTTTGATGGATGTGTAAAAATGCTTTTTAAAAAATAAATAGAAGCATCTGTAGGAATGACGAGATGTAGATGATTCTGTGGCATTGTTACCCGGTACAATCAGTGCTTACTGCTTCAGAAAATTGGTTTCAAAGTATTGATTGTGAATAACTTTCATGAAACAAGTTAAATCACTGACAGCCAGAATTGATGTCTCAGCTTTGGCCCACAAGAACAATCACGATTCTTGAGTATACATTAACACTCATATATTGCCTAGAAACAATAGATTGCAGAAATACAAGTTGCAATGTATTATGCATTTGAACACAAAATACAAACACCAGTTTACTTCCATTAATTTATTTCAGTTGTCTGTGAAAGTTACATAATAAGGTCAACTGATCAAGGCCCATATTTCTGATAAAATACCTTTTATTTCAAGTTTCAATACACCCTAATACATAAAGACAATTAGAACCAACCCTTT